GTTGCACAGGCGCCCCTTTTTGCTGCCCACTCCCTTCCCTTTGATACCCACCTTCCATTTTCAGACCATTTCCTTTCCTAGCCCATCCCAGTTTGGATACTGCAGATACGTTCCCACAGCTGCATGCTACATTCCTGTGATCGCCATGCCTTTGCCTTTTCTTTCTCGCCCTTTGTTCTCTCTTTGTCATCTTCACTGCCTCGCTCTCGCGCCTTGTCCTTGGTGTTACCGTTGGTACGCCCCACCCCCTATCTTTTCGTTATTGGACTACTCCTTCTCGTCGCCCTCGTGTACACTCCACTCCCCTTCCCGTCCCCGGCGACCTATGCTTACCTTCCCGTTCCCTCGTCGTCCGCCTGTACACTATCATCCCCCGTTCCGCCCCCTGACGACTATGTTCCTAGCCCCGGTCCTCTCCCTCAATATCTCCCCTTTCGTCTATATGACCGGACCCTGAGTCTAACCCTGACCGTTTCCCTTTTCGGTTACATTACTTTACCCTGACCCAGACCCCGACCCTTGTCGCGCCCCTTTCCCTTTTCGGTTATATTGCCCGACCCTGACCTAGACTCAGGACCCTGTCCCGTCTCTATCCCTTTTCGGTTATATCACAGGACCCTGACCTAGGTCTTGTACTATACTGGGCCCAGCCTCGACCAGACGCGTTCCTTTACAGTCTCCTCATACCTCCCCACTTTGGTCGGTTACCTTTCCCTTCCTGATACGGTCGGTACCCCATAGTATATAAGGAGGCCTGTAGTCGGTAGAGGCTCCCCACTTCTGTTCTCCTCTTCGTTACCTCCTGTATCCCTATATCCCTCAATCTAGGGACTTGTGCGATACTCCCTCCCCCGTGTGCTACACCGCGTACTTGGATAGGTCCACGTGATAAGTCTGGATAGACTTGTGTTAGTACTTCAGCGTAACACTTGGTTGCTAAGCAGCCCCTCTAGTATATAAGGACCCCCTTAGGCGCTCCCTAGTCCCCACATCTGGAAAAACAGCCTTTGCGAATTGACACTAATTATCACTATTCAGATAATCTCATCTATATTAGCAAGTGTTAGCAGAGATGACATCTACATTAGAGCTACTATTTAGACGCACTTCTTCAGTAGTGCAACTAAGCACTAATTAGTATACTTGGTACTAGTTATAACTACTCTTCACTATCGCTTTTTCTATAGTGCCATGTAGTGCCAACATGATACTACTATAGCACTACTGTAAATGTGGTCCTCTAATTTTCGCTATTTTGCACTATTGTAGTACTATTTTGCACTATTTTAGCACTACTCATTTAGGGGAGACTCAAATAAGATGACAATCCTTTATTTATAGCTCATAGTTTACACACCTCTATAGCTGCAAAATCACCATGATAGCTGACTTATATTTGAGGGCACAACTCAACATAGAACTTGTTATCATGTATAGGACTAGGCTGTCAGCACAGCATTCAGACCATGAAGCATACTCTATAGCACACTCCATATTATATACATAGTCCCAGACATTACACATATGCAAGCCTCAGCAGGTGAATCTCAAGGTGAGGTGTCACCACTTTGCCCAAGTCCAGCAGTGATGGATATATATAGTACTTGTGGAGAGAATCTATGTAAACTCTGGTGGTGCAGTGGTATAGAGCACCCCTTCAGAATAGGAGTGTTATCTGAAAGTGGGGTTGGGGGTTCAAGACTGGGTGAGGACGCCTTTTTATAATATTTTTCCCAGCACTTGAAATGCATCTGGGGCTTATAAACAGATGGTTTTGAGGTCATATTAATCATTTCTACACTAGGCAAAAATTATGGACCCACTCTATCCACTACTATCAACATCTACTGTAGCACTATTTCCGTCTACTATAGTGCTACTTTGCACGAATTTGCATTAATAGTGCAAAATAGTGCAATTATTTTTGAGGACCTCTCGATTTTGCACTATTTTTCACTATTCAACTACTGTGTCTATAAAGAGCTAATTTGTACTGAATAGGTGTAATTCGCAAAGGTGGTTTTTACAGATGCATCTCGACCTCTTGGTCATTGGGACTAGGTGAGCGGCCATAGCATTGTATTTCCCTTCGAGTGCTAATGTATAACTTGGTCATTGGGACTAGTCTGTTGCTATCTGCGTGAAGACTAGCTTCATAGGTCTTGTGCCGTCGTGCCGGCCTCCGCTCTGCTCCGTCGAGTTTCTTGTTGCATTTATCCCTCTCCTTCTCTCTCTTTTCCCTTTCGGCTCCTTGCCGCTCGCCTACGGGGTCGTCGCCGAACGTCGACCCGAGTCTACACGCCTAGTCGCCGCGACACAGGGCCCATCGTGCCTGTCTGTGAGTGAGGTTCTGCGCCGTCCTCCAGTACTTGAGGTTCTTGTGGTCCAACTCGATCTCAAACTGGGAGGGAAGACCTTCAAGGTAGTGACGCCACGCCTACAGGGCACGGATGATCGCGAGCATCTCTTTGTCATAGATCTCGTAGTTCCGTTCGGCGTCGTTCATGGATTCGGAGTGGTACGCAATCGGGTGGAACTTTCCATCGTCGCCCTCTTGGGACAAGACTGCACCGGTGGTGTACCTAGAGGCGTCGACCTCAACTCGTGTCTTCCATTCCGGGTCATAGATGCAGAGGACCGGACTTTCACAGAACCGTCGTTTGATCTCGTCAAATGCGCGTTGCTCTTCCTCGCCCCACTGCCAGGGGTTATTGCCTGTAAGTCGGTCCAGCGGTTTGCAGATGGCACTGAAGTTGTGGATGAATCGTCGGTAGAAGTTGGCCAAGCCACGGAACTTCCGTACGTCCGAAGCGTTCTGGCAAGTTGGCCAGTCTGCAATACCCTTGACTTTGACCGGGTCCATGCCCACGCGCCCTTCGGAGAAGATTATGCCAAGATACTCAATCAGTGACTGTTCGAACTGACACTTCTCTGGCTTTAGGAAGAGGTCGTTCGCTTCTAATCGTCTGAGGACCTCGTGCATGACCTTGCGATGTTCCGTGAGGTCACTACTGGAGATGAGTATGTCGTCCAGGTACACAGTGATCTTTCCTTCGACGATAAGGTCCTTGAAGATGTCGTTCATGAACGCGGAGAACGTGCTGGGGGAGCCGGTGAGTCCGAAGAACATAACTGTAGGCTCAAACAGTCCTCGATTGGTCGTAAACGCGGCCTTCCATTCGTCGCCGGTCTTAATCCGGATGTTGTTGTAGCCCCAGCGAACATCGAGCGCCGTATAGATCTTGGCGTTCTTGAGTCGGTCCATGAGTTCTGCGATGAGCGGGAGCAGATACTGATTCTTCATGGTGATTGCATTCAGCCGTCAATAGTCTTGGACCGGTGGTAGGCTGCCGTCCTTTTTCTTGACGAAGAAGAAGGGTGAGGACATCGGGGATTTCGACTCACGAATGTAGCCTTTGGCCAAGTTCTCCTGCAGGAACTTGTCGAGCTCGACCTGCTCGCTGGGCGACAACGGATAAAGCCTCGAGTGGAAGGTCTGCGTGCCAGGAACCAGTTCGATGGCGTGGTCATAGGGGCGGTGTTCTGGTAGTCTATCCGCTGCCTCCTTAGAAAACACGTGCATGTGCTCTCGGTACTCCGGTGGGACCATCTCATTGACGGTTTGAACTTCCTGTTTGGCATACTCTTGTTCGGCGAGCTGCTGCGAGTAGATGTGACTGGCCGATACGAAGAGTTGCAGTGCACTGCAGAGCGTTCGGCCCTTGCGCCAAGCGTCGATGAGAGACTGTTCCGTACCATCCCACTCTTCTTCAGCTGGAGGTAGGAGAGGTTCGTCTTCGGCCTCGTTGACCATTACCGTACCGCAAACACGCCCCACCGTTCGTGCTTTCCTTACCCGTGGAGACCTTGTGCATGCCGTAGGTCATACCCCCGTATCACGCGCTTCAGTCTCCACTGGTTTGGATGCCTTGTGGGTCGCTGGGCAGGTGTCGGGACATCGTGACAGGCGCAGCGAACCACGTTTCCAGTCTATCTCCGGGTTGTGTTCGCGCAGCCAGTCCAGCCCAAGGATCACATCTTCTTCTCCGATGTCCGTGACAATGAACGTGACCTCTTCCTCGTGGTTGCCGATCTTCATAGTGAGAACGGCCACTTCCGTGATCGTGCCGTCTCGGTTCTCCAATCCATCAATGTTGTACAGAGAAATAGGCTTCGCCAGCTTCCTCGTCGTGACCTGGTTCCGTGCCACAAATTGTCTGTGGAGGAACTTCATAGTGGTGCCAGAATCAACCATGGCAACCAACTCCTTGCTTCGCTGCTTGCCGCTCAATTGTATAGGGATGTGGAAGTGTTGACCCGCATGGTCGACTTCATAGATTAACGACAATCCCAGTACAGCATAGCAACTATTGGTACATGAGCCCGCACGCGCAGCGTCCAGTGTGGCTCGTGTCGGCTCGTGTCGCGGCGACTAGGCACGTAGACTCGGGTCGACGTTCGGCGACGACCCCGTAGGCGAGCGGCAAGGAGCCGAAAGGGAAAAGAGAGAGAAGGAGAGGGATAAACGCAACAAGAAACTCGATGGGGCAGAGCGGAGGCTGGCACGACGGCACAAGACCTACAAAGCTAGTCTTCACGCAGATAGCGACAGACTAGTCCCAATGACCAAGTTATACATTAGCACTCGAAGGGAAATACAATGCTATGGCCGCTCACCTAGTCCCAATGACCAAGAGGTCGAGATGGGGACTAGGGAGTGCCTAGGGGGGTCCTTATATACTAGAGGGGCTGCTTGGCAACCAAGGACAAGGCGCGAGAGTGAGGCAGTGAAGATGACAAAGGGAGAACAAAGGGCGAGAAGAAAAAGGCAAAGGCATGGCGATCACGGGAACGTAGCATGCGGCTGTGGGAACGTATCTACAGTATCCAAACTGGGATGAGCTAGGAAAGGAAACAGTCCGAAAATGGAAGGTGGGCGTCAGAGGGAAGGGAATGGGCGGCAAAAAGGGGCGTCCGTCCAACGTCCGTGACAGCTCGGATCAAAAACCCTCCTTCTCCTTGGCGAGGCTGACAGCGGCAATGCGATCGCTGAGCTCCTTAAGCTGCGAACGGAGAGCAACTAGCTCGTCCGAGGTCGAGGAGTTCGAGGATGGGGTGGGGTTGGGCGGAGTAGCAGTGGACGCGGCTGCTTGCTGTCCTCGTGGGGGCTTCTTGCAGTTCCGCTGGATGTGGCCCTTCTCGCCACAGTTGAAGCAGGACCGTTCCTCAGGTCCACGTCGGTCCGCTGCTACTCGTTCGCCACGGCGGCCCCAGCCCTTGGTCTTGGGCATCGCCTCGGCGCGTTCGGCCAGTTGCTAGTCCATGCAAAGGGCGACCTTCTGCGCCTTCTCCAGTGTGTCAACCTCATGCACCGTGACCGCGAACTCATTCTGGATCTTGTACGGCAAGCCATCTACATAGCGTGCCCGCTTGTCCTCGTCAGAGAGCGGAGTGCGTGCTGTGATAGCGTGAAGTTCGCTGTGTAGTCCTTGGCCGTGCCGAGCTTGTGTGATGCCTTGCACAGCTTGACGAGTTCGGAGAGCGTGGCCTTCTTGTCGTCGACCGTGCAGAAGTGGGCCTTGAAGGCCATCTCGAAGGCGTCCACATTCAACCGAACAACCTTGCCGCCGGCGAGGTCGATGATGTGGGGCCCGGCCCATCGAGCGGCGTCGTCCGTCAACTTGTTCAACACCATGATC